TGGAAGAAACACTGTGATGAGCACAATTTTACAGCAGTGCAAGATAGATAGTAAGAAACCTTCATTATAACTGCATGTTCTCTCCCTGGGTCCCCAGTCATATAATATGGATGTCATAACCGCCTTTTGAAGGTGAAAATTGGCCCTGCTGCCTCCTCTTTCCCCTCCTTCTTGTCCTTTCATGGATTTCCTAACAAAATCCATTTCCCAGTACCTTCGTTGTTAACTTGACAATGTCTGTGCTTCCTAACAAGCAAATGCTTCCTGGTATTCATTATGGCCATTTTGCTAATGGATGTACATAATGGGATTGATTGGGGCCCACAACCTGCTGTTTGTCAGACTCCATGAAACCCTAGCTATGAAGATGTGAATGCACACAGTGTGCTGTCCTGTCCTTATCTCATACAAGCCCTTTGTGATCTTTGCACCAAGGACCCTAGTTGGAGACTCGCGCTGCCCCCTGTGAAATCTGCCTTCTCACTTTTTGGTGTGATTCAGGACTTTGGAGTCTGGAAAGATTGAGGAGCCCCCCCTTGCTGTAATAAGAAACAGACATCCCTTTGCCACTACTACAACCCACTTTCATTTTTGCCCTCCCTCCCTCCCACCCCCTTCCTTTTATTTGAAATTAATGCAGTCTGGGCAATAGATGCAGCCTGACCTGTTGGATGTAATTTTTTGCATCTTCAATTTTGGCCCCTTTAAGCCCTGTGAAGGGACAAAAAGTGTTGGAGGACCTGAAACGTTTACGTGAACCCAGGTTCTCAGGCGCTTGACAGCCAAATGGGCTACAGAGAAGCATCTAAGCCAGTTCACAGAGTGAGCGTGTGTGGGGACTTCTCGCTGCCATGGACCCTTGATGCATGCTCCCCGCGCTCCAGTGGTCCCGTGTCAGAGGGCGGAGTTTTCGAAAGGAGGCCGCCAAAAATAAAAGGCAAAGAGACGGGATCGGCTGCAGCGATTTCCCACAGGAGGAGGGAGTGTGCATCGGTCTGGTAACAAAACAGGGAATGTTTCTCTTTTTTTTAAAGAAAAGTCAATCTGTGTTTTATCTTGGATATAATCTGAATATTCTCTGTAAAATGCAGATTTTTAATGAGTTGTTAATTTTTAATGTAATACTGCTTTTGTTTGACAGTTTTTTTTTTATCAAAGCAGTACACTAACATTTATTTGTTTTCTGTCCTCATTTCTGAAGTCTCAGATGTTTAAGGCTTTAAATGTTTGCATCTGGGTTGTTCTCTTTGTCAGGTTAAACTGTAAACAATTTTATGCTAAAAATTTCACTAAAATGAATATGGTGATGTGATGAAATGTTAGTGTGGTGTATTTTTAAAAGGAGGTTTAAAATAAGCTAGTTATCCATTTACCCAAACTGGCTATCTTAAGATATCTTTTGGATATCAGGAAGAGGGGAAAATATATTAATTATTACGTAAAACTTTTTGGAAAAGGTTTGTGTTCTATCCCTTGTGATGACTAGAAGGTAAGTGCTCTTGTATTGCTAGTTTTTGTAGACTTCTCCTAACAGAGTTAAAGGTATTCGGCAGTTTTCTCCCTCACTCACTCTGGTTTGCTGCGTTTGTAATAAAAATGGCACATTTGTTCCTTTTTGACGTGCTGTTGTGGAGCAAAATTGCCTGAATTATGTAAGACAAGGTTTCAGAAATGAGAATAATGTGTGTGTGTGTGTTCATGACATGCATGCAGCAAAAGATGGATGAACTTGAGAGGAATTATGAACTGCTTTGACTTGGTATTTGCTTTCTGATCACAAACTCCTATTTTTCATCCACAATTATCTCAGTTTAGCCTTGTGCTCTGTTGGGAAGAGTCTATACTGTTTTTGTATTTTACAAATACTAACTTTTTTCTTTTCTCTTGTTACTGTCACTTGCATTTGTACTCCCCACCTTCTGTTGGCACATCCTTCCTCCACTGCTGTCCTCAATTCCTCACTGTGCTTTGGTTGCCTTACAAGATGTGGAAGATGTAAAGTTTGTGATAAACTACGACTATCCAAACAGTTCAGAGGATTATGTGCACAGAATTGGCCGTACTGCCCGTAGCACCAACAAAGGCACTGCCTATACGTTCTTCACACCAGGAAATCTGAAACAGGCTAGAGAGTTAATAAAGGTTCTAGAAGAAGCCAATCAGGCCATCAATCCAAAACTGATGCAGCTTGTGGACCATAGAGGAGGTGGTGGCGGAGGAGGTAAGAGGTGGTTTTATTGGCTCTTTCTGTGTCTTTAAGCTGTGCTTGGTTTCCCGGCACATGATAACACCTTGTTAAATTTGTTAAAACAGGCTGAATCAATTATTTTTATCATATACATTTCCTTCTATAATGTTCTGCACCTGATCTAAACTTCTTTCTTTCTGTTATTGGGAGTTCTTCCCCCACACCACCCCCTGCGTATTGTGTGTCAGGAATGCTTCAAATATTATCAAAGTATATATATATTACTGGAAATATGAATTATATAGGTATGTCTGTGTGGGTATCTGTATAATTTTGGACACTTTTAAACATGTTTGGAGAACAATATTGGAGTATTGTTGGCATGTAATTACTCCAAACAAGTGGCTAGTCATAAGAGAGGTAGCTTGGTTCTGGCAACAATCTTTCCAACCTTTTTAAAAATTAAAGTGGGCCTAGCACAGACAAATCTACAGCTTAACTAATTGATATACTTGTACCCAAAACTTCTTGGAGATATTGCCCATCAGATTAGCTTGCCTGTTGCTGCTGCTATTACAAATTTTTGGTCTGCTCTTGGGATAATCTGATATAAAATTATAGCAAAAATTATAAAGATAAATAACAAATCTTCACAATTTATTATCTGTAGCCAGTAATAGCTCACCCAATTCATTCTATTGTGCCAGAATGAGATTGGAAAACTAGGCTTTTGGTAGGAATAGGCAAATGACAGCTTTGATTAACTGGAGAAGTAAAATTGAGTTTCATTCTTTCACCAGTGTTAAGAATGAAACATTTGTGTGTATGTGTATGCATGCCAAATTGAGTCTGTATTATAAACATAGTAAAAAAAAAACCTACTGAATTACACGAGGGCTTTCATGATGAACTAGCAAACATGTTTGGCTGTAGTACTGAAAATATTCAGTGGAAATCAATCTTAGACAGCAATAATTAAATTTCACATACTAAATTCATACTACTACATACTATTACCAGGTGGTCGTTCTCGTTACCGCACAAGCAATTCATCCAACAATCCTAATCTGATGTACCAGGAGGAGTGTGAGCGGAGGCTCCGAGGAGTTAAGGATGGCCGAAGAGACTCAAGTAGTTTCCGAGACCGTGATCGTAGTGACAGCTTTGCCAATGGAGCCAACAAAGCCTATGGTGGTGCCTATGGAAGTGCAAGTTCTGCATTTGGGGCACAGCAGGGCCAATATGGTTATGCCCAGGGAGCCTATGGAGCTACTGCTTACGGAGCAAGTGGTTATGGGGCAGAATATGGTGCTGCTGGGTATGGTGGAGCCAGCACTGCCAATGCTGGGAGAAACTCACAAACTACCAACCAACAGCAGTATGCAGGGATGGGCCGTTCAGGCCAGCAGCCACAGCCTCTCATGTCGCAACAGTTTCCTCAGCCTCCAGGCACCAACGTAATGGGCTATATGGGGCAGACTGCCAACTACCAGTATCCTCCACCTCCACCACCCCCTCCTCCTTCACGCAAATGAAGCCACTTGATTTAGTGGTTGTCAGTCAAGATTTGCAACCTTTTGTCCCTTTTTCTGTCTCCTCCCCCTCCCAACCCATCCCAATTGTGATGTTTTTCTTAATGCAGGTTAGCTTTAGAGTTCACCATCCAAATTCTGCCCACAAAAATGGTCCTGGTGCACATTACTGATTTATTTTTTAAAAAATAGTGTTGACTGGAAAACTAATTTCCTTATGCATATTTTGGCCTTGCATGTTAAGTAATCTGAAATTTTCTGTCTCAAAAAAAGAAAGACTTCTACAAGGCAGATTTGTCCCAGTCCAGTTGTTATTGTGTCTGAGGCTTGTGTATGAAAAATTGCTGCAGAGAGGACTTCTCTATGATACAAACATCAAGAAAGATGGTGCTAAGGAGTACTTCCTTTTTAACAATATTAAATATGGTGTGATTTTTGCTTAGTGAAATTGGGACTGTATTTTCTACAGTTATTGAAATGAAGCCTTGGATTTGGCATAAGAAAATTTGGGAAGATAGTTACTTTGGTGTGACTCAACTTATTCTTTCAAACTTCCATAAAATGTAAAAAGAATTGAGTTCAGCTAGCATTTCTGCAGCTCCTTGCCAGCCCTTTGCATAAGGGATGTAAGTGTTGGAGATGAGTGTTCTTTTCTGTTGCAATGCATTTTCACCCCAGATGTAAATCACAGAATTGTTACACTTTATTAGATTTTTCTATGGCTCTTAGATTTCACCCAAGATATCACAAATGACACCTGCCCTGTAGTTTCAACTCCGGGGTTAAATTTGTACTTTTAACAGAAGATATATATAAATATATATATATATATAGGGGAACCTATATAGTTACTTGGTGTCTATCTCCTGATCCATTTACTTGGTGTCTGGCTCCTCACTGGACATGCTTAAGATCCCACTGCACTAAGCAAAAGGGTTCCGTTTTTCAAATCTTAAAGATTTATTTTAAGCTAAACGAAATCTTAAAACCTCTTAAAGGGGATGAGGAGGAGATGGCTAATATGTCTTGAAGCTGCGTTTATATCCATATCTGACTAGGCTTTCCAGTGGCTTATGAGTGAGTTTCTTCAGCTGTCTCTTACACTCAGCTTTTACAGGTAGGTAGCATCCTAGATTTTAGGAAGAGATAGAACTTTAGCAAATGCTTTCATTCAACCTTGTTTTTTTTTTTCCTTAGTCTGAAAAAGGCTTAAAGTTGATGGGTTGGGTGGGTGGGATGGGATTATTCAGACATTAAAGTTTCTGTCTTGTAACTAGCAGGAGAAAGTTGGTAGTAGTTGGCTTCACCTGTCATGTCCAGATAAACATGGCAGAAAATCTCTTTTGTCTTGAGAGGCAGAATCTGTGGGGTTTTCTTTTTTCCTTTCTTTTCCTTTTTTTTTTTTTTCAGTTTTGGGAAATAGGTAGTTAAAACAAGACAGCCCAATTATTTATAGTAATGTGGGTTTGGCTTATAAAAATGGGACTTAAATATGTGTTTCTCAATAAGGGAGCAGGCTGGGGAATGATAAACCACTTGTGTGTCTGCGCACATCATACAGGTAGGTTGTTGGTACAGACCATGTACAATAAAGGCTTTCTAGTTAAATTCCTTGTGCCCAATTTGGCTTCCATAATCATAATTAGGAGATGTTGGCAGTTACCTTCAATGTTGAAAAGATTAGAAATGAACATTCATCTACTGAATGCTGCCTGATCTTTATTTCCTTTCCTAATAAAAACATCATGGAGCTGCTGTTCATGCAGAAATGAATCTACAGGCCTAGAGGAGGAGGGGCAGAATAAATTCTTCCCCATTATCTTTAAAGGGGTTTGGTCTTCATCTTTGCCAGTGTATTAGGGCCTTGCAGTGCTGTCCTGTAGCTTGAAGATAGTTACAGCTTAGAGTGTGTTATGCTCAGACCGAGCATTAACAAACCATTGGTCTCTGACATGTACAGCTTATTTCCACTTACCAGCTTAAAAAATATTGGCAATTAGTAATATCCATTGTTTGCTCAGTAAATGTACCAATATCTAGCATATATTCCCTTCTACAAAAGTTATTGTGTAGGCTTTGTTCAGTTAAAAGATACAGACTCTTAAAACCCTGCAGGCTTCTTGGGTTGAATCATTGGACTGTTTTATCCCACATTGGTATTTGAACACATTCCTGTTCTGTTAATAAAGACTTGAAAAGAGATTCATAGCTCTGTGATGTTCAGGCACAGTATATTAAAAAGCTATGTTACTATTAGTTTGTAAATTGTCCTTTTGATACCATCTTGTTTTCTTTTGTAGGTATGAATAAAAACACTGTTGTCAATAAAATCCAGGAATCTTGTTTTTATTTAAAAATGCAGTTGAATATTTAAAAATATGTCGTATCCAACCCTAGAGGAAACATTGATCTTTTAGGAAGGAATATTAGGTCACAGCTGTTTTAATCTTTAAACAGCTGAAGTTTGTCTGAAGTTTTTAGAATAGGGTGTGGCTATAATAGAGGATATAATGGCTAAATCATAATCTGGTTTCTTTAGTTTTCATCTAATATATATGAACCCAGCCATTGTGATTTTGTTAACAAGCCGTGGTTTGTTAATCCAGTGAGTATATGAAATTGTGTTTCTCCTTATTTGCCAGATTATTATAACTGGATGTTTTTCCTCACATGCTGGCATTCCCTGTATGGCTTTTATTTATTACTGAGGAAATAATCTGGGAAAAATTACAGTGACACCAAATAAAAACCCATTATTTGAAAACCTGAACGTAAGCTATAGCAGTATCAACCATCAAATTACTCAAAAAAACTCATCAAAACAAAAGTATTCTGGAATTGTCAGGACTTCTTGGCTTAATTTAGAATTTACAATTAGACTATTGTTAATATGGATTAAAATGAACACAATTTTACCTTTGGAGTAATTTCACCTGCACAGAGATCAAATGGGTGCATATAGTTAAAGACTTTTATTTATTATAAGAAGAGTTCAGTCATTGAAGGAACATTTCTGAACAAAAAATTCCAGATAAGTTGTCTTCCACACTAAATAGTTAAGCTCAGAAATATGAGTTATTTAGGCCTCAGTCCCTCTGGCACAATTGAGTTTGCTAGTCAAAATGTAAAGAAAAAGTCATATGCTCTGAATGCAAGTAGCCACATGGAAAAAGAGTCTTGCAATCCTGAAGCCGGGACTTCATATGCTTTCTTCAGTTGTGCATGTCTTCATATAGGTACTGGGAGACTCAGTTTCTTCCCTTTTAGTACTACATGGAGAGGAGGGGGGAAAAATTAAAATTTGCCCAATAAATGGTCTTTTAGTTTCTATATTTTTCTGTTAGATAAAGACCATGTAATGGTGTCCTTAGCACAAGAAAGTACATTAATTTCTATGCAACTTAAAGCTAGGATGAGTTATTACCTAAAGCCACTAGTATCTAGTAATCCTAGAACCACAAAGATTGTGGGGGGAGGGGAAACAGCATAATTAGAAGTTACTATGGTTTTGTTTTGTGCTTGCAGTTTAGAAGACACTGCCATGATGTTCCCTCCAAAATCTTTTTTTTCCTGTATAAGTATATTATTTCTGTTAAAAATTATGAATGAAAAAGTACAATTAAAGGGTGGAAGTGATGGGGAAGCTGAAAGTTTCAGCTGATTAAGAATACTGTGCTCTACTTAAATCTTTCTAGATAGTGGTGTTCTGCAAAAGTTTGTTAGGTTCTCAAACTTCGTGACTCCCCTCAAAAATAAGAAAAAATATGCAAATAATAAATAAAATTGCTGTGATTGACAGACCACAGGTCCAGCCATCTCAAACTAGCTTGGGGGGTGGGGGTTCAAATTCAGGAGCAAAGCCTGCAGTGGGCTTGCCCAGGCACAGCTGGAACACATTTTAACAGTGCTCCCCCAAACCAGGAATGCTGTCAAAAGTTGCTCCAGACTTTGCATAAATTCTGTGACCCTGCCCTCTAAGTTGTTCACAATCCAAGAAATAACCCAAACCTGTGGTTCATGCCACAATAAGCATGCTATAATCCATTTTTTCTTACTCTTGGTGATTCTTACCTTTGGTGACATAGAGATAAAAAAAGTCACAATAGAAGATTGTCTGTACTACTCCAGAAACAATAGCAATTTGATCATAGAAGTTTTCTGTGTGATAACGCCAGATCCAGTTGGCAAGATAAAGCAGACGATAGAGGCCCAAGAAGAAAAGGTAATGTGTTGTGATTGTCTCAGCTTCACCTGTTTTGCTAATCATAAAAAGTTGTGGAAGGATAGCCACTGATTCTAGATAAATTGAAAATGTCCATAGTATCTGAGGAAGAACAATAAATCCAAAATTAATATCCAAAGCATTGATACAGAAAGTTACAAACAGGCATAAGGTATTTAATAAGGGGTTTCAGAAAGCCAAGCTCAAAAATCTGCTGGACTCCGTTGTCTTACCTCTAAAGGAGTGAATTTGTAGTTTTCCAAAAATGAGAGACCTGTGACAGGAACCAAAAGGCATTCAAGACGGAAAGTATCATTTTCGCTGTCAAAAGTTTTCCGGAATTTTCCATAGATCAGGAACACAGTAGCATAGGCACAAAGTAAGAAAATAACCTACAGAGAAACAGAAATCCTTACATGCTATTTCTTACATTTTCCCTGTCCAGGGACAGCTTTTCAGAATTGGTCAATGATACTAATTGTTGACCAGTTAGACTGGTAGCACCTCCAAGAGTAACATCTGAAGTGAGCTGCAGCTCCTGAAAACTTGTGGGCCCAATAAGGCGGGTTAGTCTTGAAGGTTTTACTTGACTTTATTTTGTTGCCACAGATTAACCTGGCTCTTTCCCGTCTTTACTAAAATTATTTAACATTTAAGAGAAATACCTTTTGATAGGTTTTCTAAATGTCAAGCAAGCAGAGGAAACATTTCATAGCACGGAAGCAGTGAAGGATAAGGGGCTTTTCCCATGTGCCAGAAAAATGGGCTCTTGCAGCAGGGGCATTTTAAAAACCATCTCTCACAGTTCTTAACAACTAAATGATTCATAACAGGTTACGTAGTCTCTTAGGCCCTAAATCAGTGGCTCTTATAGTGACCCAATTACCCCTTTTCCTGGTCTCAAATGATGTCATCATTCTGATAAAAAACCCAGGCTGTTCTTTTACAAGCATTTCAGCGGCAGTTCCAAACTTTTGACTCACAAAGAAGCCATTACAAATTGCTTTGTTTCCCGCAGGATATCCCCAAATTATCCCCAGTGTAAGAACCACTGCCTTAAACTGTTTAGGGTTTTTAAAATTAATACCAACCCTTTACATTGTGCCCATACTGGCAACCAGTGCAGCTACTTCCCTATGACCTGCCTTGACATGAGTCCAAGTTGAGACAGATCACACTGATGTTCCTAAAGAATAATGCAAATTGTTCTTAAGAAGCCATTGACTCTTTGGGCATCCTCTTTTAACATATTGGTGGACAAGATGCCACTTAGTACAGATCAGCGATGGCAACTTGTTCTGGTTGGACAGTGGAGGCTGAGAAGCAAGCACTTCTGCCTCCACGGCAGCAGAACAGGCATTCAAACAGGTCTCTTTCCACATATATCCAGTTCATCCCAAGAACTCCACTGCACCCCATGACCCATCTGTGTTATCAGTCTTGGCTCCCTAGTAAACAAATGGGTTTATCTTACTCTGCAACAATGTCATCCCGCTAGGCCATCTCCATACTTCACATATCAGCCAAGGATCCATTGGTTCCTGGGTCAGAATTAAATTAGTTTTTCACTCCTGTAAATACTGACTGTTGGTCTAAAACTGGCCAGGGCATGATAGGTAGAGCAATGCCTCTCATTTGGAAATGTGTGAACCCATTAATGTTGGTGATTATTGGGGGTTATTTACCAGATTACAGACCAGATAGATACATTCTAATTTTGTTTTGTACCTAAGACATTCTGGTTTGGTACTTTTAATACAAGCTAATGTTATTTGCAGCAACATTTAGTTACGTGTGATTTTTAATATGAAGCCAATTATGACATTTTCCTAATCACACGGGTCTCCTTGACAAGCTATATAATAACAGTCAGGAGCGGAAGGCTATGTGATTCTTCACAGCTGAGCATACTAGAATGGAGTCAAATCTGGTCTACACACATATTTAGAACTGTTGAGCACAACAACAGCACTAGCATAGCACAGCATTTGTGTAATTGTGATAGATGTTTTATATCAGGTAAAAGTGTAAAGCACCCACCACAATTAAAGAAAGGCTGCACTCTGCTAGTGCTGCTGTTGTTATGCTCCGTCAAGTCACAACTGATGTCTTGGTGATTATTATTCTGCTGGATGAAAGCTCTACATGTCATCCTGTCTCTTGCTGTACAGGTATTACCTAATTCTTGCTGGTATATTTCTGTGACTTGCAGTACCCCATCTATCCACCTCATGTATTGTCTGCCTCATCTTTTGTCCACCTTGCCCAGCATCACCTTGCCTGGCATTATTATCTTTTCCATAGATGCATCAGTCCTCAAGATGCGTGAGGATCCAAAGTATGACAGTTTTTGTTTCTTGATTCTTGTTTCCAATCTGGCTTGAATTCCTCAAGTATTGAATAACTGTTTTTCATGGCTTTTGGAGAAATAGCCTTTCCCAACACCATCTTTCAGATGAGTCAATCTTCTTTCTCTGGCTCTTGTGCAGAGTCCATCCCTTGCATCTATACTTCATAACAGGAATACCACTGAGTTGACCATTAAATGCTAATGCTACTTAATGGCTTTTTCATATATTGCAGTAACCCATGGTTTTAACTATAGTTAGTTTGTGACTTAGTACAATTTTGGATCTAGCCCAAGGTCTTGAACATTATGACTCCGCCTTCATGCCGTCATGCATGCTCAGTCCTTTGCAATGGGAGGCGAATAGCATTTTTTTCTATCTCAATGAAGGTTAATCCCAGAAGGTGGGTGGCTTAATCAGCATTGCTAAGAGAAAGGAGTACCTTACTGCTCTCTCATTATTGACATGGGAAAAGGCGTTTTTGCATCACACTAGCTCCTTCCTTCCTATATATGAGGCCTATATTCTATTCAGTCTTTTTTATCTGTCTATATTAATGCAGGGAAGCATTTCAATGTATTTTATTTTGTGAGTTTTATAAGTTTGAATCGAAAGCAAAGATATGGGGACTTTAGCATATCTGAACTTTTGGAAGCTTGAGGGCAGCGTCAACAAACTGGTAAATTTGGCAGTGGAAATATAGAAATACCTTGTAGCTCCCCACTTTTAATCCCGCCAGGATGGGATATGAACAACTGGAGAAATCAAAAACATCTATGGTGCTGAGCCTTTGCTGCTTGGGGGCTTAATACCCTTCTTTTGTTGAGATGAGGCATAGACTCTAATTCAAGAATAGTTCAGCATATGGCACCAAGAAGCAAAGACTGTTTTAGAAATAGAATCCCTGCATTCCAAGTTCCTTTCTCTTTGTAGCCTCAGATCCCAATTTTATTGCTTCTGTTTCAGTGCAGCTGCCTTATAAACACCAATGTAAAAAACTGAGGAAGTTAACATAAGTCTGATGTAGTACATAAAAGAAAGGAGATCACTATTTCTTATTCCTTTATTTTTCAAATTGGATAAAACCAGTTTTATACTCCCTTACAGTGGCATCTGCAGGGTGTAGTCAAAGAAGTAAAGATGGTGGCCCCAAAGGTGCAATCAGAGCTTCTGTCACACTGTTGTGGTTGATATCTTGACTTATTTTTGCCATAACCTTTGGGCACCCCTGCTCCCTTTAATATCAGGAGTATTTGATGAAAATCGAGGTGGGCCTTGTGATTTGAACTGAAGTAAGTGCAGTGGGAAAATCAAATTGCTCAGTTTGAGATCTTTGATGGCATGTCTAATTGCTTCCTGGTTTCTCTTCATCCCCCTAATTTTTTGCAAGTGGAACCAGGAAAGTGCCAAGAGAGCAGACTCTACTTTTTTTATCCTACTGTAGTTCTGCTTTGTAAGAGATGGAAAGCAATAGATAGTTTTGGCAGAAGTGATGCCAACAAGGCAAGGTTTGGGAGGTCCATTCAGCAGGATGAACGGGGGGGGGGTCTTGTCACATTTTGACATAAGTGATCCATACTAGAGTGATCCACCTAAAGTAGGCCTACCATATCTGGGTAGCAAAAATCTAGATAACCTCTAGCTGAAAGCAAAGTCCCTCAAAGTTTTGCAGCCCAGATATGGTAGGGCTAATCTCAAGAGTCACTGTCAGACCACTACATTAACAATCTAAAATTACTCATGGTACAGGACCTTACTTTGAAGGCAGGGCACTAGAGGGGAGAGACTGGTTGGCTATCCCCTATTGAAAATGGGGAAATCATATAAATCCCTGCAAGGCTTAAAACATCTGAATTACCTAATGGAAAAAAACCTGAACCCAGCTTTTTTTCTGTTTCCTTACCTTCATGATGGTATTGTAGAAGGAGATGAAGTTTGTGAAGAGGTCAAGGTAGCGGCTTGTGAAAACAAGTGCGAAAAGGATCTGACTCTTTCCTGAAATACCTGCGGATCGTGAGATAAAATGAATGAGCAGCAAAGATAAGAAAGGAAACCAAGGGAAGGCAGTTTTGAGGCTTTAAGCCTGAAGATGCAGACTGCTTAGTTGGCTGTGGGAGGCAGCAATTGATACCTGATGCCACAGCTGCCCACGAGAATCCTCTGAGAAGTAAAGCACCAGTTCTGCCAAGGAAAAAGACAGCTACAGGGAAGGAAGAGCCGCCAGTCAGCCCCAACGCTCAGGCAGCTGAGTAGCCCAGCCCAGGCACGCCAGGTTCACCCATTATTCTCTTGTGTTTTGTTTCATGGTTACAATTGCAAAAGCGTGTTCCTTTAAAACATAAAAAAAGCTGCTTTGGCTGCAAGGAGGAAATTAGGAAAAACACACAGTTCTGTTTGCAAGGCTCAGAAGCTAATTACTGTGGCCTTTAGAACTCAGAGGCAACTTTTCTTCATAACCTGGAATTAGCATTTCCTCTCAGAAATGGGACAACTAGGTGGGACTGCAAAACTTCAAACTCCTTTGTTGGTCAGCCAGATGTTTATATTCCAGATCGGGCAGCCCTGCTCAGAAAGTCTGGTATTTTTGTTTGTGCAAATGGTTTATATATATATAAGTAACTGTAATTCAGCAATGGAATATTGTATGTATGTATTTATATATATATGCCTTCAAATCAGTCTCCTGGCAAATGCCTGGACTAGTCCCTGCAGTTTTCATGGCAAGG